GATAGGCGATCACTTCCCTGTTTTTCAGCTGCCCCTTGTGATATTTTACCCGTGATGGTTAGTTTGATTCTTTTTCTGGACAGCTCCCTGCTTTCCTGCTTATCCCTCTCTGAGATTGTAACTTGCTTATCTATCTTGGGAGGATTACCTTCTCTGTAAAGACAGGAAAAATCTCTGTATATACATATATAAGGGGGATTTAATCTTCAGTTCTTCTTGATGTCACGAACCCTTCAGTCACTCCTTCTATGGCAGTTGCCATTGCTGACTTTTTCATCGCAGAGGCTGCCATTGCTGATTTTTTATCCCAGAGGCTGCCATTGCTAACTTTTTATCCCAGAGGCTGCCATGTGGGATTGTTCCCTCTTTTGGACTCCCTCTTCCTATTATGTTGGGCCTGTGAGGCCCAAATCAGCCTTGTTTTTTCTGATGGGCCTTGGGCTGGATGTGTCAATTTTTGGCCCAAACAACATCATTAAATAAATGTTTAAATTAATAATAAAATGTAGTAGCATTTAAGTCTACAGAGCCAGTAGGAGCCCTTTCTCTCTCCTCAGATTTAGGAGCTCATAGAGGTCTCCCTATTTTAGAAGCTAAATAGGGAGCATGACTGGAGGTGGGTTTTTTCAATTCCTTCCTAAATTTTAGCTAAGGAGGTGATTTAGGGTGCTCATTATGAATACTCTTATGATTTTATCGATATGCCGGATGGCTAAGTGTGCTACGTACTTGCTTTGTTATTTGCCTCCTTGAATTTTGGGGTGCTTATTGTTGAATGTACTAGTTATTAGTTACGAATTTTGTTGACTTGATTTTGAATCTTCCCCAATGCTCCGTATTCTTATGTCTATAGTATATAATATGTCAATAAAACAGGTTAGGGCATTGGGGGTAGAATAAAAGTCGGTTAATATATATATATATATATATATATATATATATACACACACACATACACTCAAACTTGGTTGATAAGACTTGGGATTTGATTTAATTTGACTTGTATGGGGTTTGCTCTCCAAGTGTGCTTGTTCTTCCCTTCTTCCTTAACATGGCCAGTATAAATAACTCCGATGAGAAGAAAACAAGCAAGAAAATTATGAACCAAGAGGAATAAGAATAAGTAATAATTTATCTCTTAAAAAAAATATAATAATTTCTATTGCAAAGTGGTAGACTGGAATAAGAATAAGAGATGTTCAATCTTGTAATCAAGAGAAGAAATATGATGCCAAAAAAAAAATTCAAGAGAAGAAAATATATATGAAATATAAAAACGAATTCTTTGGAAAATTTGTAATATTTCATCAACATTTAAAAAATATAATTTGCCATATTTCAATTTACAAATGATTAGAAAATCCACTTTAAAATAAAAAATAAAAAAAGTAGATAATAAAGAAACGAATTTTTCTATCCTAATCCAATTACAAATAGAAGAAAAACTTTGGCCCAAACTATACAAGCTAATCCCATTTTTCTAGGGTTTTAGCGTGTTGCTCAAGTGACAAGCTAGATATAAACCCCAAAGTATTAGGTTTCCTTCTTCGTTGCTTTGATATATAATTATTAAGCACTAGGGTTTCCTTGTTACTATTTCCTTCACTGCTGCTCTCTAAACCATGGTTTCTTCTTTGAATTTCAAGCGTAACAGGATGGCCACTGGCCGCAGCAGAATCCCCAGCAACTCCATCCCTCAAGCTTTGTGTCCCGATCCCATCACCAACCTTGCACAAATGGCAGCGGTCAAGGCCCGAGAGGCTGCAGAAGCATACTTCACGCTTCGACACTTCGACTGTGCAATCATGCAGGCAAGGGCAGCCAAAGAGTTGTATCCAGAGTTCCCTGGTATGGACAACTACATGGCTGCATACCAAATTCATTCTGCTGTATCACACAAGAAAAACTGGTACTATGTTCTTGGCATCCCCAACCCTGCCGTTGCCGACTCTGAAGCCATCAAGAAACAATACAAGAGATTGGCGCTTGCCTTGCACCCTGACAAGAACGGGTCTATTGCTGCGGATGGTGCTTTCAAGTATGTTAAAGCAGCCTGGGATGTTCTCTCTGACCGTGCGAAAAGAGAGGCTTACGACAAGTCTCTAAGTCTGAGGTCTCAAGGGGCTTGTGGTTCCAATAACCGCAAACCAGCGCAGCAGCAGAGGTCCAATGCCTGTTCTCGGAAAAGGGCCGGCCCTGATGCGAATTCTACCGGAGGAGATGGGAGTCTTTACAAGAAAACCATTAAGATTGTAAAAAAATCAAATCCGGGCCAAAGGGCGACTGTTGTAATGTTATCAGTATGCCGGGTGGCTTAATGTTACTTGATTTGTAAATTGCCTCGAATTTTAGGGTGATTATTGTTGTATGTAACTACATGATATTCAATATAACTTTTGTTGAAATAATTTTGAACCTAATTCTCATGTCTATGGTAGATTCTGTCAATTACCAAGGTAGGGCATGGGGTAGAAATCAATTGGTTAATACTCAAAATAGGCAGATTTATCATTTATTACACCATCTAAAAACACCTCAAACCCAAAATCCACCTAAAACCCCAAGCGTTCCTATGCGATTTGCTACGAGTCTCTTCAAAAGTTACAAGTTTCTGTTGAAAAAGACTTAACAAATTTTTGATATGGTAAGAGATGACAGGTCTTCCTCATCATCGATTCATGCCCTATTGTCACAGATCCATTTGCCTACTGCTAGTTATACGCAATTGATACTCTCTATTTTGACACTGTTCATACCCAGATTGAAACAATGCAATGCATATGGAGTTTGAGAAAATACCGAGCGGATATGAGATCGTTAGGATCAGAAAACACATAAACTTTCTCTCCACTTAGAACCATAACGAATTTTGGGGACTTCCATGGGAGGGCAGGGTAATCATGCTTTTAGGTTCTTGAAATTTCATTGAGGATGATCACAATGAATCTCAATCAATATCTTTTCCCCCTTTATCAGTAATCTCAATTTTATTTCAATATGTAATAAGTTAGCAACTAATTGACTGAGAGAAGCAGCAACCATGGCTCCTTTCTTTTTATTTTGGTTAACTTGAAATTCCCTATGCTTGATCTTTTTTTGTTTTTCTCAGCAAGGGGAAATAGAAGTTTTAATTTAGCACCACCAGGAGAAAAAAAAAACACAGAGATCAACCTTCCTCCTCCTCACGTCAATCTTCCTTACTGGGTATTTGACATTGCCATATGGGTTGGGTTTGTTGTTTCTTGTTATGGAGGAAAATGGTGTGTGGGCGAAAAGAAGATTGAAGAGAGAAAAAAAAGAAGAAGGGAAAGTCATGAAAAAGAAGAAGAAGATGTTGTGAGAGAGAATGTTGATGCTTTTAGGAAGATGTGAAAATATAAATGTGGACAAAAGAAAATTGAATAGCAAAGTTAATTAAATTAAATTATACTTATTTTAATATGAAAGAATTAGTTTGTTTAATCTCAGCCATTTACTGTAGTCTAATCTAAGGGTTCAAAATTATTATAAGCAGTTAAATAGCATGTACTTAATGAAATAGTCAAGATAAATTCCAAGATTTCTTCATCCGATTTTAACTTGATAACAAAGAAAGACATGAGTCATAAATTTGTCCATTTAACTAATTCAAACCAACGATTACAGTATAAGGAAGATGGGAGCTTTTTCTATCTAGTTCGAGCGATACATAAATTCAAACTGATCGTTTAAAAGAAATCATACCAAGAGGATGACAAAGCAATAAAAGATGAACATCGAAGTTGTCAACTGGTTATTTGAATATCAAGTTGGGTTGTTTTGAAAAGATTTTGAGTTTTTTCAATTGTTTTCGAGATGTTGTGTCTAATTTTTGGAGAGACAATCCCCTTCTTATGTTGCGGAGGCTCTATATTTATAGGTAAGAAATCTCAATGATGAAACCTGAAAGAGGATATTTGGCTGCTATCCAAAGTCAGATGTTAATCTGTCTTTTTGGACTGGTTTATAGGTGAGGGGACGAAATGTCTCTGACAAAACCATTGGTTATATGAGATGTTTCTCTGACTTGAGTTCTCTATAGTTGAAAATCCAATTGGCAATCGGCTCCTTCCGGTCCTTGTGGCTTTTATCCAGCTCACTTTTCTTGTTGGGTGAGAAGACGGTCAAGTGGCCATTAATCGTGACAATCCTTCTTCAGACCCTCACGTGGGTCGATATGCAACGGTTATCAATTTCTTTAACTTTAGTGTGGATCAAAGTTTGGGCTTCCTGGCACTATGGGCTTTTATTAAATTTTACTTCTTGTTGGCCCATCATTAAAAAGAGTTCTTTTTGTCTTTTCCAAAAAAAAGAAATTGAAAGGGCTTGGGCTTTAATAGCCCTTTTTTTAAAATAATTTTTCGGCCTGGGCTTTAAAAGATACCATAACTTTTTTCTTTTTTGTTTTTCCCATGAGAGATGCTCAATCTTGTAATCAAGAGAAGAAAATATGATGCAAAAATAAAAAAAATTCAAGAAAAGAAATAATGAAATATAAAAAAGAATACTTCGGAAAATTTGTAATATTTCATCAACATTTACAAAATATAATTTGCCATATTTTCAATTTACAAATGATTAGAAAATCCACTTTCAACAAAAAACATAATAGATAATAAAGAAACGAATTTTTCCATCCTAATCCAATTACAAATAGAAGAAAAACTTTTGCCCAAACTGTACAAGCTAATCCCATTTTTCTAGGGTTTTAGCGTGTTGCTCAAGTGACAAGCTAGATATAAACCCCAAAGTATTAGGTTTCCTTCTTCGTTGCTTTGATATATAATTATTTAAGTACCAGGGTTTCCTTGTTACTATTTCCTTGACTGCTCTCTACACCATGGTTTCTTCTTTGAATTTCAAGCGCAATAGGATGGCCACTGGCCGCAGCAGAATCCCCAGCAACTCCATCCCTCAAGTTTTGTGTCCCGATCCCATTATCAACCTCGCACAATTGGCTGCGGTCAAGGCCCGAGAGGCTGCAGAAGCATACTTCACGCTTCGACATTTCGACTGTGCGATCATGCAGGCAAGGGCAGCCAAAGAGTTGTATCCAGAGTTCCCTGGTATGGACAACTACATGGCTGCATACCAAATTCATTCTGCCGTATCACACAAGAAAAACTGGTACCATGTTCTTGGCATCACCAACCCTGCTGTTGCTGACTCTGAAGCCATCAAGAAACAATACAAGAGATTGGCGCTTGCCTTGCACCCTGACAAGAACGGATCTATTGCTGCCGATGGTGCTTTCAAGTATGTCAAAGCAGCCCGGGATGTTCTCTCCGACCATGCGAAAAGAGAGTCTTATGACAAGTCTTTAAGTCCGAGGTCTCAAGGGGCTCGTGGTTCCAATAACCGCAAACCAGCGCAGCAGCCGAGGTCCAATGCCTGTTCTCGCAAAAGGGCCGGCCCTGATGCTAATACTACCGGTGGAGATGGGAGTTTTTACAAGAAAACCATTAAGATTGTAAGAAAATCAAATCCAGGCCAAAGGGCGACTGTTGTGATGTTATCAGTATGCCGGGTGGCTTAATGTTACTTGATTTGTAAGTTGCCTCGAATTTTGAGGTTTATTGTTGTATGTAACTACTTGATATTCAATACACCTTTTGTTGAAATAATTTTAAACCTAATTCTCATGTCTATGGTAGGTAATCTGTCAATTACCAGGGTAGGGCATGGGGTAGAAATCCATTGGTTAATACTCAAAATGCCAACACAGAAATACTGTCAAGAAACCATAAGCAGATTTATTACACCACCAAAAAACACCTGAAACCCAAATTCCACCTAAAACCCCAAGCATGCCTATGCGATTTGCTACGAGTCACTTCAAAAGTTACAAGTTTCTGTTGAAAAGGACTTAACAGATTTTGATAACAGATGACAGGTCTTCCTCATGATCGATTCATGCCCTATTGTTGTGCCTGAGAGTAGGAATAACTGTCGAAGTTTCCAAAACCTGAAGAGGAAACTTAGTGGGTGAATTTTCTGTGGGTCTCTCATATTGTGGAGGACATCAAGAGCTTATTTGGCCAATCTGAAACTGTAAAAAAGTTGGGTTTGATTAATTTGACTTGTATGGGGTTTGCTCTCCAAGTGTGCTTTGTTCCTTCCTTCTTCCTTTTCATACAAGTCTTTGTGAAATAACTCCAATGAGATGGAAAAAGAATCTCAGTTTTGAGTTGTAACTAGCAGATATAGTAAGGATGCACTCAAATTGTTCTCTAACAAATTCTGTATCCATAGGACTATGTAATAATAAACTTACTAATTTCTTTTTTGTCCTTCCCATGAGAGATAATCAATCTGTATTGAACAAGCTGTACATAGACAACTGATACAATACAGAAGCCACAAGTAGTAGTACATACTTTACTTATATAACTAGTCACAACGAAAAAAATGATCTTATCATATGCGCAGGAAAAAAATCCTTCTCACATGGACGAGAGCGCATGCTAAGAGGCTAGTATATTACAATTGACAATCACATGACTGCCAGTAGTTAATTATTATTAGTAGAATTGAGCAAAAAAGCTTGTGATTTTCTCTCATAGTAAAAGTTGTTGGTAGAAGCAGCATCAGCTGAGAAGATCATGACCCCATTAATTTCAAATCCATTTTTCTCCAACAGACTCAAAGCATCAAAAAATGCATCCCCCTGAATCCCTCTTCCATTTACTTCATAGCTAGGCAACAACTTATCCTTTCCAAATTGCTTGGCCCGAAATGTGTAGGCATCTAAATACCCTTTTGGGGTGTTAACCTTGTCAGTGTAGAACTGGTGGTTGACATAGTCTATAACATCCCCATAACCATTAAAGAGTTGAACATATGGCGCAGCCGTACTATAAAATGGCGCAATGCTAGCTACGGAGATAAGCCTTTGTTTTTTCAGACGGGTGATGAGCTCGCCGATGCAAAAAGCGAAAGAACTTGATGAATTACTGCTCTTCTGGTTCGGGAAATTTTCGTAGTCTATGTCAATGCCATCAAGGTGATAAGTGGTGATTATTGAACCAAGAGATGAGACAGCATTGGATATCCATACGTTGGGGTCTGTTGGATTGTACCAACGAAGGACTGTTTGGCCTAAGCTCCAACCTGAGAGGCTTGCCAAGACTTTTACGTTAGGGTGGCTTTTCTTTATGGCCGCAACAGATTTTGGGGTTAATGTAGTCTCCCAGTATGGTGTGAATGTCCCATTTTGTGGATTGCCTGATGCATCTGCATCAATTGCAAAGCCGAGTATGAAATTGAAGTCAATTTCATCTTCAATTGGTACAGAGTCAAATTTTATTGGAATTCCCGAGGCTCCAATGTACTCCATCATCAACTTTCCATCTGAATCATGCATAGATAATTTGAACGGTTAGCCACAACACAAAAGATTAGATAGCTAGCTTAATAGCATCTACTTATAAATAGTGAAAGCAAATATTTGTGGTACCAAAAATTTTACGTAGATGCTGTAGCACGCAACGATGCATTAGGAATTGTGGATCCTTCATAAGCTATGTATATGGTGAGAAATTAGAGAAAATAGTTAGACTGCATACCACAAAATTGTTGAAACATGAATGCAGCTGCAGCAACATAAAGGAGAAAGAGTTGAAGTTGAGTCATTCTACTTGGTTGTCAATTATCTTGAATGAAGATGAAGAAACAATGAAGAAAGCTGTAGTTTTTATAAATCTATTGAAGTTCACATCAAGCCGGCCAGCACCAATGGAGCATATTTGCACAATTGGAGAAAGCTGGAAAGATTGTGATATTTATAATGAAATGATTGATGACAAAAAAGAATTTTGAAGGTTACGAGAATTTCACAAAGGAGAGAGAGTTGAATTTGAATCATCCTGCTTTGGTTGTTTGCTTGAACGAATACGAAGAAAAGAATATAAGTAAAGCTCTGGCTTTTATAAATCTATTGAAATTCACATTAAGCCGGCTAAAACCAATCTAGCATATACATATAAATGTATAATATTCATATATGCACAAATGGAGTAAGCTGGAAAGATTCTGATATAAATATTTGGTTACTGTTTTTGTGACACTATCAAGGTTCAGCCAATGTTGCAGTTCCTTGAAGCAAAAAATAGGCATCTTTCTAGCATCACCCCGACAAGAACGGCAATCCGTCGTAGCCGATCATTGCGCAGTTGGTGCTGTTAAGCTCTTTCGAATTGCCTTGGACATCATCTCCGACCTTGTTTTTTTCTATCCTTTCTTTGTACTGTTGCTTAAGTGTTTGATTTGGTGTTACATAATGATCTAATATTTATTCTAAAAAGCATTGTGCCCGCCAGCCCCCCAACCCCACAATAAAAATTGAATACCGGTTGGCCAAAAGGGAAGGGAAATGAGAAGGTTTCAGGAACGCAGAACAGTTGCAATGGCTGTCAAAGTTGCATGTGAAAAACCATCTTTAGAACCATATATTTTCATTAGAATGAGACTAATAGAATGCCTTTTTCTTTTTCTGGGAAAATTAACATTCTATTGGTTACAGGAGTTTTTATAGTTAATCAACAACAGAACTGCTTCTAAACTCAGGATTTACATCTCCCCACATTCAGCAATTACACAAGCTAGTTTGGGGCGATTGTTGGGTCCTGTAGCCACATTCTCAATCTTCCTAACCACCAAAAGGCCATCTCCAAGTACTCTCTGCATACAAATTAACAAAACAACGGAAAACAGGTTCTCAGTACCACTAATAACTGGAAGGTTTAAAGGGAAACAAGTAATTTCAGGTTGAGCAACAAGAGGGATATAGTCAGTGGAAATCCATATAGGTTGCCAGTCTTTGGAAATATAGACATAAGATAATGCAACTCCACTCTACCAAAATTGAAAACTATACAAATATGCTTAAGTTTGTTTTGCACACTCAAGGGGGTGTGAATTTTTGGATCCTAAATTCATTTTTAGGTAAAACATTTCCCAAGGGAATCTAACACGCCATAGGCTGATAACAGATCTTGGCTTGGGCATGGTTAGGGACAAAGTATATCACAGTTTTCATGCCGGATTGACTTTCACCTTAATGCTTAGGCTTTTGAGTCACCTCAAGTTTAATATCAGCTTTACAAGCCCATAGGGTAATACTTGTTCATCTATATGGCTCTTTTATTTCTTTGGTAAGTGAATCATATGACCCTCTCTCATTGATAAGTAATCAGGCCCCGGTGTGTTTGAGTAAAATAATTTATATATCAAAAGAATTAGAAAGAAGGAATCATAGCATACCCCGAACACAACATGCTTATTGTCAAGCCAGTCACATTTCGAGCAAGTGATAAAGAACTGAAATGGAAAAAAAAAAAATGGAACATTAATCAATAGAACCAAAAGTTCTCAACTCTTTGTGTGGGTATGTGTGCATGTGTGTGTGTGTGTGTGTGTGTGAGAGAGAGAGAGAGAGAGATTTGGTTGGAGACAGAGAGAGTTTGAGTTGCTGAAATTACCTGGCACCCATTGGTATTTGGTCCACTATTTGCCTGAAAAAAGAGCACACGATTTTATCCATTCAGTCTTGATAAAACAATCTCATATTGGAGCGCACACACAGGACAAAAAGGAACACATATTGGAAGACACACACACAATATACAGAAATTCCTTCAGGACTGGGATCCCTTGGCTGTTCACACGGCAACAAGGGCTGTTTGAACAGCACGTCAATTGGTTGATGACTGAGTATAGAAGCCATTTATGGTTTAGGTTTAAGTTTTGACAAACTCCCACAACCCAAGAGTTTAAAAACCTAAATTATAAGCTCTAAACGGGTGCGCTTTGGCAGACTAGCGCTGTTCTGGAAGGCCTTATGTGTTGTTCGTATGCTGTGTAATCCCTCTAAATATGGTCCCATCAAAGAAAGAACCATATAAAATGTATTTATATAATGAGGAAGGATCCATGACCTTATTTTTTACACAAGTTGTGAACCATTAGATTGAGTGCCATGGATCCTGCTAATCTCAGCGATTAGTAGCGTCCACATCTAATGGTTAAAAACTTGTCTCAAAACTTGCATTAAAAAAAAAAAAAAAAGTACCATGGATCCTTCCCCTCATAGATATACATTACAAAAAAGCAACTCATATGGGGACACAAATGAAAGACAAAAAGGTATGATAGCTTCAAATTTAATCTTGTATTCTCAATTTGAACATGAAAAACTAGAATTCTATTAAAAAGAGTGGCCTAATTCTATAAGCAATCTAAAATAAAATCCCACAAGGAGAAGCAAATAATAAAAGTAATAAAACCCTAGTAAGACAAATTAAAGTAAACAAAACGCTTGGGCAAACACTAACAATAGATTATTGGGCCATCCCAATTCCCATCAATCCCTTTGTTGTTTCCATGTTCTAAATGAATAACTCAGTAACCCAAAAAACGATTGAGGTTTAGCACAAAAGCTAAGTGAGATTACAGCTACTGCAGACATATATTACACATTACAACATTAAATCTCTTACACACATCTTACAATGTGTTTAGAAGCAAGTAATGAGTATGAAAATATTCAACCCATGAAGGAGGGGAAAAGAAAAGCAGGACAAAAACACTTTTTTTTTTTTTTTTGGGTCATAGACAAAAAGCCTTGTAAGTGCTACAAAAAGGTCTGCCACTCAGAAATGTCAAAAGACTTTTACAGATTAATTACATCATCCAAGACAGGTGAAACCCAAATTAGCTCTACAAACCGGGCATGCCTATGCGATTTACTAATATTGCTCTTTAAAAGTAAGAAGTCCTATTTTAAAAGACTCTGACCCAAATTCCACCTCAAAAAAATTCTGTTAAGACTTTAAACTGCAAATTCAATCACCCATAAATAAATCAATGCCAATGGGGATCTTAAATTGAAGGACTAATCATCATCAGCATTGTGAACTAGAGTCTAACAATTTCGCAGCTTATACCTATGTACAATATATGAGATACAAATGAGTGATTGAAAAAACCCAAATCAAATTAGAACTTAGACTATTGCCTCTCAATGTACAAATTTTTTATTAAAGGATTGAATGTAAAGTTTAACCAATTCTAAATTCTCAACATGAAAAAAATAAAAAAATAAAAAATAAAAAATAAATAAAAAAATAAATAAATAAAAAGAACCTGGAAAGATATCTTCCAAAACTACGGGGAAAACACAGTGAGAGTTATTCAATACTAAATGTACAATGGAAAATGCATACCATTGACAAAAGACCAGGACCAGTGTGTTTGGCGTCAAAAGTCTCATCATCAAACTGATGTCCATAAATGGAAGCACATCCACTACCATCACCCTGCAAGGCAAGAACTTCATTAGACGCGTCTTGTAACAAGAAGAGAAAAGAAAAGGAAAACTGTCATAGCTGAAATGATCGTAATTAACTACAATGGTTTTTTTTCTTTTTTCTTAATAGGATAATGTTAATTCTAGATGAACAATTGTTATGGCCAGGGCATTGCAGAACCCTCATGAATGGGTACAGCGTCCTTAATATGTAGTCTTTCTAGCCGTAACATTTTTAGCTGGAAATAGCATTTTCTTTTCTTTATCCGCAAAGTAAATTGTTTAATAAAGAAAAAAAAAGAGATGACGATTGTAAGCAGTGTTGTGTACTGACTAGATATGATCAGGGCAGAGCACATTGAATATATTTACAAGAAAAATTATAAGCTTCCTAGCTGATACATAAGTTTACATATTCATTAGTAGAAAATGGCAACAAACCCAGAATGGCAACAGTAAACCTTACTTTTTTCTTTCAAAGAATTGAAACCCAAATTATATTTGAAAGCATAGATAATAGTAGAACAAAGAGCGAAGACCTTGAGAAAATCACCAGCTTGAATCATAAAATCCTTAATGACCCTGTGGAACTGGCACCCCTTGTACCCAACTGGCAATCCAGCTTTTCTGCCAATTCACAAATCCAATTTTCACAAATACACAAACATAACAGGTATAAAAAAAAAAAAAAAAAAAAAAAAAAAAAAAAAAAAAAAAAAAAAAAAAAAAAAAAAAAAAAAAAAAAAAAAAAAAAAAAAAAAAAAAAAAAAAAAAAAAAAAAAAAAAAAAAAAAAAAAAAAAAAAAAAAAAAAAAAAAAAAAAAAAAAAAAAAAAAAAAAAAAAAAAAAAAAAAAAAAAAAAAAAAAAAAAAAAGAATAGTACAAAAAGAAAAAAAAATTTAGTGAAAATGAATCTCTACCTGTACTCGCCAGTGCAGAACTGCCTGCAACAAGTAAAAGAATACACAAAAGAACTCAATTAGGAATGAAACGACGGCAAAAAGTGGATCACAAAAGAGAGCAACAATAAAGCAGAACGAGAGTGTCGATGCCTGAAATTTTCGGCGGTTTTAGGGGCAATATCAGCGAAAAGCTCCATCTTGATGCGACCAGCGGGAATGGTACCGATGGTAATGTCGAAGAAGACGACTGGGTTCTTAGGGTTCGGAGGCCGCACGTGCCACTCCACTCCTCCTCCTCCTCCTGCGTTCCCTCCACCTGATGCCATTGAATTGATACGACAAACGCGCACACAGAGTCACAGAGATGAGCTGAGAGAACGCAAACACTGCTGAGTCTGAGATATTTATTTCACTTCGCTGTAAGTAAGCTTTTTTATTTTATTTTATTTTATTTTTTGGTCAAGCGCTGTAAGTAAGCTTAAGCTAGGTTTTATCTTGGGTTTTATCAGGGATGACTCAGAAATCGGACGCAGCCATTTTCAATTCCATTTGGGCAAGCCCAATGGTGGGCTCTAAACTATGCTCCAAATATGGTGGATGAAGGGATTACTCAGAAATCGGACGCAGCCATTTTCAATTCCATTTGGGCAAGCCCAATGGTGGGCTCTAAACTATGCTCCAAATATGGTGGATGAAGGGATTACTCAGAAATCGGACGCAGCCATTTTCAATTCCATTTGGGCAAGCCCAATGGTGGGCTCTAAACTATGCTCCAAATATGGTGGATGAAGGCCCATTTAGAGCTTCGGTGGAATCTTTTGGGCAGTAAAAATATCTAGCTCACAATGGTGGGCTCTATACCCGGAGCTCTATATTCTAGGCTTTATATGTTTTAGGTAAAAATTGTAGCAATGATCCCTTGACTAAGACCAAACTTTACTTTTCGTCTTTCATATTGTTAAATTGTTATGGTGGTACTTTAATTATGTGTCCACTTTCAGAAATCGTCATTTCCATCATCTCAGTCAACTTTTCTGTTAAAAATGATGATGCGGCGTGGACCAATCCTACTTGGCATGGACAAAAATGTCTTTTCACATAAAAATTTTAAAAAATCTCTTTCTCTCTCTCTTCAGACCTTATTCACAAAACACAAGATCAAGATCAAAACCACTTTTTTTTTTTTTTTTAAATTCAAAGCAATTTGATGGAATGGTTAACAACTTGAGCCAAGCGTGAAGATAGATGCTGCATTTTCTGTGACTCGATGGAGACTAGGAACGTTTAAGACATGCACGACTTTGAGAGCCATTTGCCAAATTTGCAAACTTGCAACCAAGCTTCGGAATTCAAGAAATGAGGATGCTGAGAAAATTGGGGCTTGCTCCATGCATACATAGAACCCATCCCCCGTGCGATTTTCTTCTCTCTCTCTCTCTCTCTCTCTCTCTCTCTCTCTCCCTACCTCTATCCCTCTCTCCTGACCCCCCCCCCCAATCCACCCAGATTTCTTCTCCACAGAACCAATTTCTTCCCCCTCCCCCCCCCCCCCCCGACGATTTCTCACCAAAATTTCCTCCTCCGACGATTTCTCACCCAAATTTCTTCTCCCCCCACCAATTTCTTCCTCTGCTTCTCTATTTTGATCAGATCTGGAGTGGAGGATGGGGGCTGGGGTTTTGGGTTCGTGGGTGCTAGGGTTACAGGCTAGGGTAGAGGGTGGCTATGGGATAGGTTTGAGGGTTGGAGCTTGCTGGTGGTAGTCATGAGGGAATGGGGGAAGAAGAAATCTTCGGGGGAAGTGGGAGAGTGCAGAGGAGAGAGAGAGAGAGAGAGAGAGAATTTAACTAAGTTAACGAAATGACCAATGATGCAACACGAGTGTTAATTAAAACATCACTGTAACAATTTAGCAACATGTGAGAGTAAAAATAAAGTTTCACTTAGTCCAAAGACCATTGCTACAATTTTGCCTATTTTTTATGATGTAATTTAGTTTACGTGCTAAATTTTTTTGTTACGTACTTATTTTGTGCTAATGTATGTTTGTGTTATATTAGTTTTTTAAAGGAACATTTCAACTAAAAAATATAAAAATTTGGACAAGATTCTGAAATTAAAAATTTTATACAAATTTATAAATAAACCCAATCTTAGACATGTATTTATAAAAAAACTCAAGCACTATTTAAACATAGAAACACACCCAAAATCAACCCCAAAGTCAACTTTTTGGGTGTGTTTATAAATGAGTTTTGAGTATGTGTAATGATGGGTTTTGGGTGTGTTTATATGTTTAAATAGTGCTTAGGTGTTTTTATAATTTCAACCTCCATTTTGGGTGTTTTAGTGAAACTCCCAAAATTGTATTTCATATTGAGATGAAACATACGGTTTTGATCGAATGTCAGATAATAATGGATATAGATGGATGCTACTCCTCATCTTTATAACTTTCATCCTAATAAGTCAATATTTTATATATCTTTTATGCCTCATTTACTATTTATTTATTTATTGATTTTCTTGGATTAAATTGTTGGATTTAATATATTTTGTGAGAATTTTGTAGTTGATCCTTAATTAGATGGACGAAAAGATGTCAAATTGGACTCAAACCCTATTGGGATGTGTGGCAAGAATTAATTGGAGACAAAGAAGATGTTTCTTAAAAGCCAAGCACAAGGCGGAATCATGAATTTTTCAACGGGTGGGCTAGCTAAAGTTATTAGCTTTAAAATTTAGTGATTATTTTTTTTTGGTACTTACAATTTCTATAGTCTTTCTAGAAATAAAAGTAAATATTAAATCATATAAACCAAGCTAGTTCGTAGCTCCATAGACTAATTTTCAATAAGTTTTAAGATAAACTAAATAGGGTTTAACACCATAGTGGATTGAACATTTAAGGTTTTTTTTACCTAGATTGACTTTAGATTCTTTCATGCATTTATATTATAGATGAAAAGTTATTTTATGTAAAAATATTGACTAAGTATGAAAAATGAGTTTTCGAAATAATCATTTTCTTAAGATAATTTTTTGCGGCTTTTATTCCTCACACATCAAATAAGAAAACTTGATTTTATGGGATTTTAGTATGAAGTATATATTGACTTAATGAGCCATTATTTTTAGCCTAAATCGTATTTTGCACTAAAACCGATTTTTCATATTTTGATTTGGTGGGAATTTGATTTTCTAGTATTTTTATTTGAATCCAAATGAGGGGTACTTCCTTATTTACATTGTAAATTTAAGTAAATGGATTAATATAAAAATAAATAAAAGTAAAATGACAAAGACATTTACTTAAATGTTGAAATGGAAATAAGATAATCTGTACAACGCCACTGACTAGGCTAATACTGAAAATAAGTTAAATATATATATAAGCTATATATTTTTTTCTTAAAAGACCACACTAAGCTACAGCCCACTGTAGCCCTTAGTGTGGTTCCGCCCTTGGCCAAGCAACTGGTCAAAGCTTAAAGGAGGAAGTTTGGTCAAATCCTTGTGGAATTTGGAGAAGAAATCAAAGAGATATTGGAAAACCTATTTTTGGTAGTATTTGATTGTAACTAGGGTTAGGGATTTGTATATTATAAATACCAAAATGCTGGTCTCATAGAGAGTATCCATACTTCTCACTACCTGAAAATACCCAATTTTTGGGAAGAAAAGTCATGATGCCGCCAGCCACCTTGGAGCTTTTTGGGAGTTTTCGAGTTCATCCTCGTGTCTACCATCAACCGCTCAATGATTCTCGATAATTTTATCATGTTCTAACTTCCTTTTGCTAGGGCTACGATGTACCCTAGCCATGAATACCTTATTTTTGAGTTTATGTTAATTTGATATTATTTTCCATGTCGAGTATCTTTTATTTGAGTGCTTGATCACCACTTAATTGATTTGATGCTTGAGTTGACAACATGAATATCCAACTTAGGATTTGGCTTCTAGTAATTGATACCACAGGTTACTTGAGTGAACTAGAAGGTTATTCGAGGCTTGTGTGTTTCTCATGAATTTCCATAAATTGCAATGTTCTTGCCATTTAGAGTTGCTTTTATATGTTTTCATTTTCGTGTGTTACCATGGTCTTCCAATAAATAAATATTTTTTTCCCAAAATAACAATACTTTATTACATAGAAATGCAATACAAGAACAAAGTACAACATGCTTTAAATAAAACAAATACATCCAAATCTAGACATTATCGGGGGTTGGGGACGGTAGATGTCATCTTCAAAACTTAGAGAACAGGGCGCTTCCTTGGCCATAATATTGACTTAGGATTGTGGAAGTGTAGTTCTTTAAGCATAACCTTAAGCTCTTTGCTCTCAAGAATCTCATATTTGTAAGACTTCATGACTTCATTCAGCTCTCTACCTTCTTGAGTGCTCGCTTCTGGAACTCCTTTTCTTTTTAGCTCTTTTGCTCTTTTGGTTCCAATTGGTCTTTAGCGTTGGTTCGAGGTTTGCATGAACTCTTGAGTTTTCAAAATGGTCTCCATTGACAAATCTTCGTCTAGAGGAGTTGAGGCACCTATTGGAGACGTGTTTAGGGCTCGTCAATGGGCCGGGCCGGGCTAGCCCGACCCAAATTTAACGGGCTTGGGCCGGGCCGGGCCGGGCTTTAAAGAGGAGAGAGAAAATATCGGGCCGGGCCGGGCCGGGGTTTTTTAGAAAATTCAAAGCCCAAGCCCGACCCATAGGTCGGGCTTGAGAAAGCCCATTGGGACGGGTTGGGCTAAGCCCAACGGGCCGGGCCGAAACGGGCCTACTTCATTCGAAAAAAATCATAAACTTAATCATAAGGGCATTTTAGTCTAAATTTGAGATTAAACTCACTTAATTCCAATATTTTCACATCAAACCAAATTCATAAAATACTCAATAAAGTCACACAACTTAATAAGATTTTCCACAAAAATAATAAAACAAAGTATTATTTTTGAGGTTATTACATAATTAGACCATAATACGTTTTAAGAAATAATTTAAAAAAATAATAAGTATCAAAAAGATATTTTTTTTAAAGGATGGTATAAATAAATATGTAAATGTTTGGTGATGTGTTCAAGAAAAACATGATTATATTTGGTGGTAGTAGTACGATTATGTTTCGTGATATGATTATGTTTAGTGATATGATATATTGTTCATCTTATTTATATATATATATATATGTTGTATTAATAATTGACACAAATTAATGTGCTAATCATCCAATTATAAACTAGGAATGAGTAAAGAAAAGTAAATGAAATGAAACAAATTATATATGTGATTTAAGTGATATAATC